AAAAGACACCGTTGTTTTAGCCTAGTCTAACTCATTCTGTATGCCACACATTTAAAATATTGTGCTCAAAACGGTTTCAGCTGATTCTGCTACTGGGTGGAATACCATTTCTGTGGGCTGTCGCTGGTTCTGTGACTGCTCGCTTTGGATTTGGTCCAGAATACGAGATCACCCAGTCCCTCGTGTTTCTGACGCTTGCTACCCTGTTCAGTGCTATAACTGGACTCCCCTGGAGTTTGTACAACACTTTCGTCATTGAGGAGAAGCACGGCTTTAATCAGCAGGTACACTGGCTGGAATGCACTCACTGTTTATTGCCGAGACTAACTTGAGTTTGATTGGATTGAAGTTACCACAGTTGATGGGCTCCAGAGCTCATATTGAAGCTGTGTCTTTGTTGTTTAATGTCAAAAACACAAACGATTTAAAATGTAATAAGAACTTTGATGGACTGAAGTTTTTGACTGTGAAATTTTGTCTGTTTAAACCCAAAATGAATTCAAAGACTGGAGAATCTGTGAAGAAGTAAAAAGAAATCAGAACTCTAACACACTGTATTAATCTCCTGTTTACTCTGTTCTCTTTTAATGTCTGCTCTTCCTCTCAGACGTTGGGGTTTTTCCTCAAAGATGCCGTGAAGAAGTTTGCTGTCACTCAGTGCATCCTGCTTCCTGTGACCTCCCTGCTGCTGTACATCATAAAGATCGGCGGAGACTACTTCTTCATTTATGCTTGGCTCTTTACCCTGGTCGTTTCTCTGGTTAGTGGCGCATTCGCCTTGCTCTGTGAAAACGTTGAAAATGCATCACTGTGTAATAAGAAAATGGGTTTCTTGTCAGATAACTAGTGAGAAACTCAAAAGAAGTACATAGTTGATACTACACCTGTACCGTAATACATCCTGTCATCTCTGTCTTCTAAGGTACTTGTAACCATCTATGCTGATTACATTGCTCCCCTGTTTGACAAATTCACACCATTGCCAGATGGAGAGTTAAAGACAGATATCGAAGCCATGGCCAAGAGCATAAGCTTCCCCCTCACCAAAATTTACGTAGTTGAAGGTATGTCTTGAATGTGTCTTTTTAGTTATCATTCCCACTGTCACAGAGTGCTTGCTCATTGTGGGTCGTTTGTTGGGGATTTCTCTCTGTTGTTCTAGAGTCTTTTCCTTACATTATCAAGCCCCTTATTATTACATTGCAATCATTAGTATGTTGTTTATTTATTTATTTATTTATTTATTTATTTATTTATTTACATTGTGGAGCGATGGTTGGTTGGAGATCCATGAATTTTTGTCTTGTTTCCAGGTTCTAAACGTTCTTCACACAGCAATGCATACTTCTACGGGTTCTTCAAGAACAAACGCATTGTGCTGTTTGACACACTGCTGGAGGATTACTCGCCGCTCAACAAGGCTGGAGAGTCACAGCCTGAGCAGCCAGAGAGTGATGAGACATCCAGCGAGTCTAAAGCCAAGCCCAAGGTTGCGAAGAATTTCACTTGATTCATAAAAACACTTTTAAAGACAGAGTATTCTTACTTGTCTTGAAACACACTTTGGTTGATTTTTGCTTGATAACAACTGGTCTGAGAGCTTGAAAGATATATATCTTTTTTTTGTCATTAAGCTCTGTTTTGCTTTTAAAATCCTTTAATAAAGGATTGGGAAAAGCCCAAAGTATTAAATGTATTAATGTTTAGGCTTGATGTTGTTGGAAATTTTAGGTGACTGATTTTGAATCTTCTGTCACAGAACAAAAAACAAGGATGCAACAACCCAGAGATCCTTGCTGTTTTGGGTCATGAGCTTGGCCATTGGAAGCTTGGTCATACCGTCAAGAATATCGTCATTAGTCAGGTGATTTCTCCCAGATGGATGTCTTTTGTTTTATCCCAAAACATATAAAAGCCTGATTAGATCATACTACAGACATTCAGAGATTGAACTGAATCTATTTTTATCTCTTCAGATGAATTCCTTCCTGTGCTTCTCCTTATTTGCTGTTCTGATTGGACGTAAGGAGCTGTTTGTAGCTTTTGGCTTCGATGACAGCCAGCCCACATTAATAGGCTTGATGATTATCTTCCAGTTCATCTTTTCTCCTTACAACGAGGTATGTGTGAGATCATGAAAGTTCGAATAATTAAATCCTGTTGTTTTGAGATTTTTAAATATTTCTCTTCTTCCTCGCTTTTGTAGGTTCTGTCTTTCTGTCTGACGGTCCTGAGTCGCAGGTTTGAGTTCCAGGCAGATGCTTTTGCTCGCGGCATGGGCAAAGCCTCAGAGCTTTACTCGGCTCTCATCAAGCTGAACAAAGACAACCTGGGCTTCCCTGTGGCTGATTGGTTGTTTTCCATGTGGCACTATTCCCACCCTCCTCTCCTTGAGCGCCTAAGAGCACTGGGCAACACCAAGCAAGACTGACGGGGCAGGAAGGGGGAGCGGCGACCGCTGCCTCCTCCGAAGGGCCTCCGCAGACCGCTCCTGGCCCTGTGATGCACCCTGGTCTTTTTCCTTCCCTTCTGCCCCCCATTAGCAAATTTTATCTTATTTTATCCTTTTCTTCACTTGCCATACTTTGTTTTGTTTTGTTTTTTCTTTGAAAGTTAGTTTTAAGCAAAACCAAAACATATCAGCACAAGGCAACCATAAAAAAAATCTAAGCCTGTACTGTTCTTTTTCTTTTATTCAGAAAAACCATTTACACACTTGCTGTGTGTGATAGATCTGGACAACGTGTAAAGAAAAAAGCAATTGTCAGAGCACATATCAGATTTCTCAGATTGCACTCATAGATTTGTTTTTAGAAATCCTTTTATTTTTGTACAATTTATTCAGTACATCATTCTTTTTCCCTTCTAAGTATGAAGCTCAAATGAAATTGACAAGTTATTTGGCTGTTAAATGTTAAGTTGTTTTTTGTTTTTTTTTATATATTAATTTAAGATGATTAGTCATACAGTATATTTACTCATTACAATGCTTTTTACAGATGCACGGGCCAGATTGATTTGTACAGCAAGTGCAACATTTATTGTCAAGTTCAAGTGAATATTCATGAGTCTACTAATCAATTCAGTGCTTTTTTTTATTTTTTTTTATTTAAAGAGAAACTCTGTAGATTCTTTGTCACAGTGACAAAATACGAGTGCCTCTAATTCTCCTCTTTGTACCCATAATGAACACCTAGTGAACAGAGCGGTGCGAAATGTTTCGTTTGAACATTACATTAGACGTGTTATTTTTGTTTTGTTTTTTACATGCAATGAGGGGCTGCTGTTTTAATTTTCTTAAGCACCTGCTTGTCATGTAGGGTCCAACCATACCTGTACATATGTAACTTTGGTGATTAGAGTAATGATATATGGAGTGAATTGTTGAAAAAAAAATGTTGAATGTGATTTGAATTTTTAAGTTCCTGTAGAGTTTCATAGTTTTTGTTTGGTTTTTCTCTTTGTTTCATGCCAGCGATACCTGGTAAGCAAAGTATTTATAGGGGACTTATGGGAGGGAGATGGCAAGATTTCACCACGTGAGCCAGAGTTTGGTTTGCTCAGAGAGGGGGTGTATGCTTTCTTTGCAGTGTTGAATAAAATCTTCTAAGCATTTATCTTATTTGGGGTGCTTGTTTTACTTAGAAAAAATTTTGCGAAAATCACACAAAAGATAAGATTTACATCCAGTGATGACTTTGGAATATATTTTTAATTGTGTGTGTGCGCGCGCACACACACACACACACACACACACACACACAAAATGCTCACTGGACACTTAATTAGGCACACCCTGGTTGGACCCTGTTTATGCCTTCAAAACTGCCTTAATTCATATAGATATATTCTCTGTATGAATTGAGGCATTTTACACCATATCTGTAATGCATAGATTCAACAAAATGCTGGAAACATTCCTGAGATTTTGATAATTATATAATGGCATCACACAGTTCCTGGGCATCCATGAAGCAAATCTCTTGTTCCACCACAACTCAAATATGCTTTATTGGATTGAGACCTGGAGACTGGAGGTCATGTGAGTACAGAGATGTTCTGATCTTTGGCTAGAAGGATGCCAAGAAAATATCCCCTGCACCACCAACACCAGAACCATTAATGCAAGGCAAGACAGATCCATGCTTTCATGCTGTTTTAAAAATTCTGACCCTAACATGAATATGACAGCAAAAGGTAAGTCTTATCAGATCAGGGGAATTTTTTTTCCCCCAATTTTGGTGAGCTTCTGGGATTTGTAGCTTCAGTTTCCTTAGCTAACAGGAGTGGCACCTCATGTGATTTTCTGCTGCTGTAGCCCATCTGGTTCATGGTTTGGCATGTACATTCATGTATTTGAATTACTGTTGCCTTCCTACAATCTCTGTAAACTCTAGAGATGGTTGTGTGGGAAATTCCCAATGGATCAGCAGATTTTGAAGTACTTATAAAAACCATGCTATGGTCAAAGTTAATTAAATACCCTTTCTTCCCCATCCTGATGCTCAGCTTAAAAATAAATTGATGTTTTATAAACTTATTTCTTTAGATAAAAAATTACTGTGTACTAAAATATCAATTAAAAAAAAACCCAATTCACAAGTTATTTAATTAAGCTATGTAAAAAAGTAGAAATAACCATTGTTATTGTTGATTTTGTTTTTTTGTTTAAAAAACATTTTAAACCCCTTTTTGTTCACTATCTGTGAATGTATATAGTATTTAAATTAATTAAAAAATGAATTAAAAAATCACACATCGTGTTGCGTTATTGGTATGTAGCATAACAAAAATTATAAGGTCAGCTGCTACGTAAAGAGAGGCAATGCGGTGTCCATTTTTAAGACCATACCACTGCGGGAATTAAACACTGTGTTTTTTCTGCACTATGTTATTATTCCATGTTATGTATATGAAATATATTTAGCAGATAAATTGAAATAATACATCATCGTATGAATAGATTTTTTAAATGTATCATTTAATTGAACTGACGTATCTTCTGTTGGCACCCCCGCCTTGGACATAATGGCGCCGTCCTGTGGTGTATTTTTGTGGACAAGGACAAGCTCGACACTACTTGTCAGTGGTGTTTTCATAAACATGGCGAGGTTTTTGAGGCCTAATATCAGGACTTTTGTCACCTCACAGCTGAGAATGTCATCCGACCAGGTAATAAACGTCCTGCAACCGCCTCACTTCATTGCAAACACCGTGTAACCGTTATACAGCGGTGTGACATGTTTAGCCTCATCATTTTTGCTAGCTGAAAACCTTAATGACAGGTTCACCTGCTGTAGCACTGTGGTATTAGCTTTCTAATTGAACATTATTACCTAATAATTATAGGTTATATATGCCAAGGGGGTTAATTTTGTATGCACTGCCACCTGTCAGACTATTCAGAAAAAGAATTTGGTTTTGTGAGCTGCTTTGTCCTCTCAGACGTTTAGGTTTTGCTCAAAAAGCGTTTCTGGTCTGTTCGAGATATCTCCATTATCACCTTGGAAACAAAGAAGCCTTTTAACCCACTCAAAAAATATAAAACCTTGACCTTCAACGTGGGCTTGTTTTCACCGTGTCCAGCAGATTCACCTTAATATCACACAGAAAGCCCTGATCACTAAAGTTGAGAAAGAAAGTAACTTTAAGAAATGTTTAATTTTAAGCTGCCATCTGTTAAAGAAATGTCTTTATAGAAAATACTCAGAGCTCTATTTTTTATTTATGCATTTATTATTGGGTTTTGGGGTTTGTTTATTTTTTTGCTTGTTGCTGAGTTAATTCACTAAACTTGTTTTTCTCTTAAATACTTCCCCACCCACTCAGCTGGGTGAGCTGGGTAAAGGTGCCGGGAAAGGTGGTGGTGGTGGAGGCTCTATCAGAGAGGCAGGTGGATCCATGGGGAAGAAGCAGGCTGCAGAGGAGGAGATGTACTTCAAGTATGAAATTCAACTTATAGAGACAGTTTTTTGTCCACTTTTTCCACCTCTTCTACATGAAAATAAGCTTGCGTGATATCTGTCTTTCTTCATATAAGGCGCAAGGAGAAGGAGCAGCTGGCAGCACTAAAGCAGCACCATGAGGACGAAATTGATCACCACAAAAAGGAGATTGAACGTCTCCAGCGCGAGATTGACCGCCACAAGGGAAAGATCAGAAAGCTGAAGCATGACGACTGAGTGAAGCCTTTAAAATAAAACAAGAGTTTTGTTTTTTTTTCTCCTCACTGTCCAAGACTCATTTAGTAACCACACTAGTTTCTGCGTGCACTGTGTTATGCCAGTCATGAATGTTTGAGTGATGGTACTTATGTAAATTCTTGAAAGGTATTAAAATTGATTAAAAGAAATGAGTACGGGTTCCATGGCATGCTCTCCAAGAACATTTTCCTGTGTGATGTTGTTCATTGGTGTGCCGTATGTCACAGGTACAATGCCAAAGTGAAAAAGACTAAATATAATCTGTGCTTCATGCTACTGTTTTATTTCAGTGAACAGTTTGTGAACTTGTGAGAAACATTGTTTTCAATGAGCAACAATAGGCAGCAAATCAAGTGATAAAATTGACTAAGCTGCAACCAGCACACCTTTAATGTGAGATATAAAAATGGTAAAAAAAAAAGATAATTAAAGTTATCTGGCACCACAAATATGTGACCTGGTCAATATGTGTTTCAAACTGCTCCTTAAAGCCATCTTGATCTGAAGTAGGGTAATATAAATTTAATACTATTAAGATCTTTAAAAGTATTTAACACCTTTATGATTTCTTTTTTCTTTGTTTGCTTTTTGCCTACCTAGCCTACCTAGGATATTCAAATTGATATCATAGGTACATCTACTGAGTTTTCAAGCTTGAAAGGACTTTAACTAGGTCACTTTACCACTTATTTTTTTCTCCCTTCCCCTTTAGAAGTGGACACTGGTGCATTTTGGATCATTGTCCTGTTGCCTAACCTAAGTGTGCTTGAGCTTCAGGGCACAAACTGATGATGGAACATTCTCATTCAGCATTTTCTGGTAGAGAGCAGAATTACAACAAGTTGTCCAGGTCCTGGAGCAGCACAGCAAAACTGCGATTGCTATATAATTAATATATAATTATATAATACATAATAGTATACATAATTTATAATACTGAACTTAATTCGCCCAACAGTGGCGCTATTTTTTCATAGCCTGTGAGCCACGAGAACGAAGGAAGCTGTCGTCACTTCCGCCCACCCCTGCCTTTTACCACGAGCAACCCCGTTTGTCTTTCTTTTCGCACATCATGGCGGACCGGTTCAATAAGGTGGGAAGCTGCTCTGGAGATATTATATCATTTTTCAGCTCTGTAGGCAAAATAAAACCTTGTGTTTTGCAGTTAAGCGACTGGCGATAACTTGGGACAGCTTTGTGTAGTCGTTGTTTTGCTCAGTGTTTTTTCTGAGACCTATTTTTAGGGAATGTCTGAGGCAGCTCGCTCTAGCCGAGTGAGCGAGCCTTCATCATGGCAGCTTCCCTGAGTCAACGCTGTTAGCTTGCGAGGCTAGGTTTAACGTGTGTACTGGATATATGGTCATATGGGAAACGTACCGGCAAACTTAACTAAATCTAATGGGTGGTATTTCGTTGCTTCTGTGTAGGGAACCTTTCATGACATTTCAACTCAAAAAATACAAGGTTAATCGTCAGCGCGGTTTCGTTTAGATGCTAAGCAAACGTTATGTCTCAACCGGCAAGTGAATAGTGTCCCATGTGCCATTTATCAGTGACGTGGAGCCAGAAATACAGTTCAGTTCACAGTAAACCCCTTTATTAAACAGTGATGGGGTTAAATGCGTTTTATTACCGTTTAACTTGTATGTTAGTGCAAGGCTGATAATGTGACGATTGTCAAGTAGATAGTAAATGCAAGTTGATTAACATTACTATACAAGATTATAGGGGAATTACTAGGATGTTTTTTCACGGTGAGGATAAAGCATTGATATCCTTTTCCCCCACCTTTTATTTTAGGTTCTGCTTCTTGATGGCAGGGGCCATCTGCTCGGCCGACTTGCTGCCATTGTGGCTAAACAGGTTCTTCTGGGTAAGTTTTCAGAGATTAATAGGAATTTTTGGTAATAAACAATATAAATGTTTGATAATAAACAATTTAAGTTAAGTATACACTGTGCGATTTTTGGACTGTCCTAGTCAAGAGGTTCGAATTTAGCTGTTGTATCACACTACATGCATGGACTCCTTGGAGCAATATCCTGACAGTGTCAGAAATTTTGTAGCAGTATCTCATAATGAGACTGCTGCTGTACCTGCTGACCATTCAGTAGGAATGCAGTGCAAACTAACCTGAAATAGTTGAGCCATTGTGGGGTGCTGTTGGAGGTAAACTGTGCAAAATAAGGTGGTTTGGATTGTAACACATAATCTAGTATAGTTTTACACACCTGAACTGTGGACAGTGTCAGTAGTATTGTTTCTGAAAATACTCATGATGTCCACTTGCTCTGGGAATTCTCTAGTTACTGGCTCTTGTTACATAGCATCAGTTAGGAATTAGAAGGATGGAGCACTAGAAGGATGAGTATTTGATTTCCATTCCAAAAAATTTGATATTTGTGTCCTCATGTGTAGTTCAGCTGGGTAATGTCTTTAAAAAAAAAAAAAACACTCGCATTTTGTATGTGAAAAATGACTGTTTGTGCAAAAGTCCTGCAGAGAGCATTGTATGCTCTTTCTACACATGGTCCAGATGCAATCACACAAAACATGCAGACACACAGATGGCTACAAAGATGGACCTATGCTACGATGAAACTTTACCTTTAACTTCCAGACTTGTGTCAGATCCATGTCGCACAGTGTGTTTTGCAGCATGTAAGACTGATGAACAATGTGTTCATAGTTGGCTGCTGTTGTGTCATTCTGTCGATGATGACTGTATTAACTGCCTTGGTTGAGTTTAACGACAATGAGAAAACTCACATGCACTACCATCTGAGACAGGAAACAAACAGTATCTGCACCTGTTTGCTACTCTCTTTAACTGTTGGGATTAACTTTTGGCATTTTGTCTTTTAGGCCACAAAGTGGTGGTGGTGAGATGTGAAGGCATCAACATCTCTGGCAACTTCTACCGTAACAAGCGTAAGTAGGGTTATGTCCTATTTTCAGTCCTTTAAAATGCTTGTTGTCGGTGATGTTTTACTAGTTTGAGTTTCACAGACCATGAGAAAACCTTACATGCACTACCATCTGAGGCATCAGCATTACTTAATAAAGCAATGGTTGCCCCTTGCATGTATCTTGATGTATGTGTAATGTGGCTAATGTATATCTTTTCTGGATCATGTGCCTGTTTGCAGTGAAGTACCTGGCTTTCCTGCGCAAGAGGATGAACACCAACCCCTCTCGTGGTCCGTACCACTTCAGGGCTCCCAGCAAGATCTTCTGGAGGACCGTTAGAGGTGAGGAAGTGACACTACCGGCACATGAAGGGGTGTATTTGCATTCATCTATGATACTTGCTTAGCACCGTAAAGCTGTTTATAGCAAAGCTAATGATCTATTGATGAAGCAGACTTCAGACATTGACTTTTTTTCAGTTTAGCATATGTTGATGGATACTGAGGTTGTTTTATTTTTTTAAAGCACAATCTCTCTTTAAACAGGTATGCTGCCTCACAAAACCAAGAGAGGTCAGGCTGCTCTGGAGAGGCTGAAGGTGTTTGATGGTATCCCCCCACCCTATGACAAGGTATGCTGGTAATGTCTTTCCTTAATCTTTACGGCCCCCACAAGTGGCTTTGACTGTGCTGTCTGTGATGCCATACATCTTAACTGCCTTGTCTGAATAGTAACCATGAAAAGAAATGATGTCTGAGACACGCTGCCTATAGCAGTTCAGATGTGCTGTTGTCTTCGTTATCTGATTTTGCTTTATTTGATTTACAGAGGAAGCGCATGGTTGTCCCAGCTGCTCTTAAAGTTGTGCGTCTGAAGCCCTCTCGCAAGGTGAGCCTACAAGGTTGTTTTTTGTTAAGGAAAGAAAATAAAGGGTGACAATAAGGTTACTCCATTTACGATTATTCGGCTGTAAATTTTGAGTTTGGCAGGCACAACCATTTAGTTTGTGTAACATTGTTCTCTTCAGTTTGTGAACTGTTGATTTCATATGGTTTTTCATTTCTCCCTCAGTTCGCCCTCCTTGGGCGTCTGGCACATGAGGTTGGCTGGAAGTACCAGGCTATCACAGCCACTCTGGAGGAGAAGAGAAAGGAGAAGTCTAAGCTCCGCTACACCAAGAAAAAGACACTGATCAATCTGACCAAGCAGGCAGAAAAGAACGTCGAGTCCAAGATTGCAAAATACACAGATGTTCTGAAACAATATGGAGTTATTGTCTGAGCTAAACTCATCTGGCCAATAAAGATGAATACATGTTTATAAAATGTGTCATGACTATTTTATTTCTCATTAAAGTAAACTGCATTTACTACAACATGAATATGTTTAAGACGAAGACACTGCTGTGAGTGCAGCTTCTCTTTAAAAATTGTGTGTAGGCAGTTGTATTAGTAGCTATCACAAGAAGGTAGCATTTGTGTATTCATGGTTATATTTACTTGGAGTATGAAAAGTATCACTCAGACTTTTGAAAGGGTTTTAAAAAATAAATTTGTCAAGAAGCATCACGAATGTAGATGTTCTTCAAAAACAAGTTTGGTGCAGAGCTACGTGTAATCTAAGCCAGGAAAAGCACATTGGAGTTGCTTATTTTTCTTACATGATTTTGCATAATGTGTAAAATCAAAACATAATGAAATTTGACATCTGACCCACTAGTTTTTGAATTGTATAACAATTTGGTGCAGCTGTAGAGAAATAAAATTTAAAAAGACTGAGAAAAAATACAATTTATGCATGTGGGAACTTCTCATTGGAACCAAGCTTAACTACCAGCAGAGGGCAGTGTTGAACTGCGACACTTCCAAGCGTTACAGTTAACTAAAACATTTAGCGTTTTAGTTAAAGTAGTGTTCATATAACTGTAATATTGTTAAAGTATTATTCTCTAGAAACCGCTGGATCATTTTTATTTAGGACATAATCATACTGAGACTGGTTTTACTTATTGTTATTTTTTAAAGTAGGCTACAGGTTATCGTGTGCAGCTTAAAATTACACTGAAGATTTGAACTGAAACAACTGAATCTCCTTGAATAGCTGGCTTCTGCTGTCTGCTCTACTTAAGACAGGACCAGCTCTGAGGTTAAAAATAACCAGGTGAGTGTTTTAAAGCATTAAAAATCCCTTGTCCTCTAAAGATTTAATATATAAAAGCAACCCAGTGAAATGAAAGCACCTGTTCAGAGATGGTTGAAAGACACTGTCGACCTG